ATTCTGGGAGTTGAAGTCCACACATCTTAAAGTTCCCAAGGTTGAGAAACTGGGCTAGAGTAACAGAATTGTGAAAGCCTGGCTGCGTTTTCACTTCTCTCCCCCTTACTCTCTAATGAATTAGGGAGGAGGCCAGTCTGAGCGTCTTTCTCAGCCTTCCTCTGTTTCCTGGGTTTAAGCATGTTTTGGTTAATGTAACCATCATCTCTACTGAGTTTCTCCAAGCTTATCTCCACAGCTCTTTGCACCAGCCTTCTCCCAAAGGTGGGTGTCTTCTGTTGAAAGCTAATAAGGTTGCCAAAGCCACTGCTGATTTAATGGTCTCAGCCCATCCCACCAGACCCAGTGGAATGGAGATGCTCCAGATCCCTTCTCTGAGACAAAGTCATCTAGTGGGACCCAGGAGACATGCCTTCTCAGTCACAGCACCTGCTCTCTGGAACAGTCTTCCCCCTGACTCTGTTGGCCCTTTGGAAGGCCTCGAAGACCACATTTCAAGCACTCAAGCAAGGGTGTTAGCGGTGCCCAGGAAGTGTGTTTTGGGGTTGTGAGTTGATTATGAGAGGCCTTAATGATCATATGAGGATTGTTTTAACTGCATTTTGTTTTGTTCCATACCGATTTTTTAAAGTGGCTTTTTTATGTACAGTTCGTTAGCTGCCCAGGGCTGTCCGTTTAAGGTGGGCGGCCATACGCATGCTTTAAAATAAATAGCTAAAATAAACAAACTTAGGAGATGAAAACCAATTAAGTCTGAACATTCATCACCGACCGACATTCTGCAAGCTTCAATCTGGTGTCCTAGAGAACCAGCGAGGCAGCAAACTTTTGCCTAGAAACAGGTGAAGGTCTGGAACTCCAAGGGCATAAAGACTGTGACTTCTGGCAGAGAGAAAATGCAGAGCTGCGGGGGCGAAACAGGCAGGGAAACCAACCCCGCTCGCTCGACAGTTTTTGACAGAGCAGAGCTGCTTGTTGCTTAGTTACCAGGATGCTGCAAAAGAACTTGGAGCTATTATGGTCTGTAAACACTAGATGTTTAGAAGGTGACAAGAGCCTCACCGTTTCCCCATGCAAGTTAAAGCCGTCAACACCCCACACATTATCGTCTACAGATGTTGCACCCCTATGGGTTTTTCCTCGCCTCCCCCCCGTTTCTCATGACAGATTTCATGGCAATTCTGTCACCGTACCGGGGTCCTTGATGGTCTCCCATAGTTGCGTTGGGTCTGTTTAGCTTCAATAGGATGGCTGTGTCATGACCATTCTTATCAATCTTGAAGCCACAGAGGAAAAATCTATCAGATGCTAGCAGTTCTAACATGAGCCTTTCCCCCTCCTATCCCAAGTATTTGCAGACTTTTGATGTATGCAAGATATTGGTTGAGGTCTCACATCATGCTCAGCCATGCACGTGCAACTAAGGTTCCAGGACCGTGTGTATCTCTAAATCCTTCTGCAGCTCCCATCTGTCAGCCCTTTGAGATAGAGCAGGTCAGGAAGCGTTTCATTTCTCCTTCCCTCCCTCTTATACCAAAGAAACACAAGGCAGGACAATCTTGAGTTTCTTCCTCACACTTTCCTGTTTTCCCCAGCTAAGCTGATGTTTCTGTAACAACAGCCACGTACTGCAGTGTTGTCCAAACCTGGCCACTTTGAGTGGACTTCATGGCTGGCTGGGGAATTCTGGGAGTTGAAGTCCACTCATCTTAAAGTGGCCAGGTTTGGACAACACTGACATACTGTCTCCAAGGCTACCTCC